CATCCTAAGTTCAAGAACCTCTTATCTGAAAGATAAACCTGCAAGCGTTCTAGAAGTTGCATTTTGATGTCAAAATACCACTTCCTGTGTGTCTGCTCTGCACCAAGTCCTAATATTGTTGACGCTGCTGTTTTTTCTTTGTAGTATGGTGACTTTAGTGTGCAATTTCATATTCTACAGCTTTTGCGCTGATCTTTGCATCAGCAGCTCCAAGCAGTTCTGGACTTAATTCACTTAATTGCAGTAGTGTGACCTGAGGATCTTCACAGCTAAGCAGATGCAAACAGCTATGGGGGGTTACCTCTTGAAGATGACGCTGCATTCCTTAAAGTTTTAGGAAATTCCTTATCCTCTCTAGTCCTAGGAAGATGAAGGTCATAAGCATAAAACAAATCTCAGAGAAGCAATCCCTCAATTTTTTGTCCCATCTGCATAGCTTATTGCCTGTGGAACATTTAAATCCTCCTTCAAGGAGATTATAGGTAGGCTGTTTGAGGTATGTTCAAACATGCTGTCAGTCCACAGAGGAGGCTCCGCTAGATCTTTGCATTTAATGATTTTACTCCTCCTTCAGTCATCTTTCTGATGGTATTATATGCTGCTTTTGAAGTAGAGAAGTCATTTAACTATGTATGGGTGGATTTGACAGCTACTTGTTCAACAGTGTCAGGGCATTCTTTGTGGTTGTTTTTCTGTATCCTTAGCTGCTTCCTTTTCTTGATACTTCAATCTGGCATTTTTTTCAGTATTTAAATCTTTCCTTTGAATCTGTACTTGTCGTTCCTTTATACTTATTTGCCAGTAGCCTAGTTATTGATCCAGTAATTAACAAGCTACTTATTAGCTTCAAAAATGTCAATTTCTAGTTCAGCACTGACTTTGAAATTGCCTAAGCCTGTTACTGTCTTACGATTGCATAGGTTCCAAATACCAGTGTTGCTGCTTCCTGTCATAAAGAGCTTTTCCAGAGTCTGCTCAGTTATCCATCTGTCAATGTTAGATCAGTGAATCTACAAGCTTTTCCTGTTTTATGTGTAGTCAAGTTCACAGATATTCATCAACCTTCCAGGAAACAGTGAAGAGCAGCACTGCTCTTGCCATCGTCCTGATTTTTGACTGTTAGCTATTTGTTGTTGAAACTCCAATGCTTTAATTCTGGCACTTATATAAGTATCATTACTTTCAACTTTAGTTTGGGTGTGGGCAGTTTATTTCAGATGTTACTGCCTCAAAGTTTATCCTTTGAGTTGTTACCTGTCAATTTAGACTGTCGCTTGTTTTCTCATGGCGTGGTCTTTGCAGTCCAACTAGCTACAGATGTTTTGAAATATATTTTTTTTTAATTAAGGAACTTTAAAATGCCCTGCTATCCCCTGACTTCTGTTCTAGACATGCTGCAGAAATAGTACAGTGGAGAAGCCAATTAATGCAGGTGCTGCAGGACAACATAGGAAGTTTAATGCAAAAGTAACCAAGTGATTTAATGGAGCTAGCTTCTGTTTAGTAGGATTTGAGTGCAGTGCACAGTCCTAGCCCTGCTGGTCTTTTAGGGGCTCCTTTGGAACTAAATGCAGGCATCCAACCCCTTCCTGTATGGGGTTTCACAATAGCTTATTTATTTTGATGGGGTCCTAGAACCATGGCATATGGTAAGGAAACATGCAAGCAGCTTTTGTTGAGCCATATGTAGCTCAACTATAGTTAATGAACCCATCAGTTTGTCTGATTGTGCATAGTTATTAAAGTGTCTTTCCTTTGTCAACAGCACTGAGGCATGCTGGCTAACTTCTCATGGGCTTCGTGGTTCAGATGCTGCTCTGTGAAAACGTAGTTGACTGTTTTTCAACAGGACCTTGCCCAAAAGCAATGACTGTGAGCTTCTCTGCTCTTCAGAACTGCCTCCCAGGAGAGCTGGGAAGCTGCAGCTTTTTCTAAACATAGTAACAGTCCATCCCTGTAGTCAGGAAAATGAGAAGACATATCTCTTAAGAGAGTGGCGGAGATTAGAAGGGACCTCTGGAGATCATCTAGTCCAACCCTCCTGCTCAAACAGGGTCACCTAGAGCATGTTGCACAGGATCGTGTCCAGATAACTTTTGAATGTTCCCAAGGATGGAGACTCAGCCTCTCTGGGCCACCTGTTCCAGTGCTCTGTCACCCTCACAGGTGACCCTCTGTCACCCTCACAGGAAAGAAATTTTTCATCGCGTTCAGACAGAACTGCCTGTGTTTCAGTTTGTGCCTGTTGCCTCTTGTCCTGTCTCTGGGCACCACTGAGAAGAGACTGGCTTCATCCTCTTTACTCCGTTCAGATACTCAAACACATTGATCAGTCTTGTCTCCTCCAGGTTGAACAGTCCCAGCTTCCTCAGCCTTTCCTCATAGGAGAGATGCTCCAGTCCCCTAATCATCTTAGGAGTGCTTCACTGGACTTGCTGCAGGAGCAACATGTCTCTTGTACTGGGGAGCCCAGAACTGGACACAGTACTCCAGGTGAGGCCTCCCCAGGGCTGAGTAGAGGGGCAGGATCGCCTGACCGGCTGGCAACACTCTTCCTCATGCAGCCCAGGATCCCATTGGCCTTCTTGGCCACAAGGGCACATTGCTGGCTCATGCCTAACTTGTCCACCAGGACCCCCAGGTCGTTCTCTGCAGAGCTACTTTCCAGCACGTCAGCCCCCAGCCTGTGCTGGTGCCTGGGGTTATTCCTCCCCAGGTGCAGGACCCTGCACTTATCTTTAAACTTCAGGAGGTTCCTCTCTGCCCAGCTCTCCAGCCTGCTGAGGTCCTTCTGAATGGCAGCACAGCCCTCTGGTGTGTCAGCCACTCCCCTCAGTTTAGTATCATCAGCAAACTCGCTGAGAGTACACTCTTGTCTCTTCAGCCAGGTCATTGATGAGGAAGTTGAACAGTCCTGCACTCAATATTGACCCCTGGGGGATACCACTAGCTACAGGCCTCCAACTAGGCTCTCTGCCACTGATCACAGCCCTCTGAGCCCTGCCATTCCGTGAGTTCTCAATCCACATTGCTGTCCACTCATCCAACCCCCGCTTCCTGAGCTTGCTGATGAGGATGTGATGGGAGAGAGTGTCAAAAGCCTTGCTCAAGTCCAGGTAGACAACATCCACTGCTCTCCCCTCATCTACCTGGCCAGTCATTCCATCATAGAGGGCTATCAGGTTGGTTAAGCATAATTTCCCCTTTGTAAGCATGCATGCATGCTGACTATTCCTGATCACCTTCTTGTCCTCCATATGCATGGAGATGGCATCCAAGATGAGCTGTTCCATCAGCTTTCCAAGGATGGAGGTGAGGCTGACTGGCGTGTGGTTCCCTGGCTCCTCCTTCTTGCCCTTTTGGAAGGTGGAGTGATATTAGCTTTCTTCTAGTCCACAAGCACCTCTCCTGATTGCCATGACCTTTCAAAGGTGATGGAGAGTGGCTTAGCAGTGATGTCTGCCAGCTCCCTCAGCACTCGTGGGTGCATCCCATCAGGGCCCATGGACTTGTGGATGTCAAGTTTGCTTAAATGATCTCTAACCTGATCCTCCTATGAACCTATTAACCTGTACAAGTACATGGGACCAGATGGAATGCACCTGAGGGTGCTGAATGAGCTGGCTAATGTCACTGTGAGGTTGCTTTTTCTTATCTTTGACTGGCTGTGGAGATCAGGGGATGACCTCAGTGACTGGAAAAAGACATATTGCAGCCATTTTTAAAAAGGGGAAGAGGAATGATTCAGGGAACTATAGGCTGGTGACTCTTGTTTTGGTCTGGGAAAATTCTGGAGCAAGTCTACTTGGAAGCCATTTCTGGGCACCTGAAGGAGAAGGTAGAGATTAAGACTAGTGAGAATTAATTTACCAAGGGTGTGTGTCAACCAGATTCCCTTCTGTGATGGAATGACTAGAACTGTGGTTGAGGGGAGAAGAGCAGTAGATGTCATCTACCTTCACTTTAGCCAAGTATTTCAAAATAGTGTCCCACAGCATTCTTGTGTCTCATTTGGGATTATAGGCTAGGTGGAACTGCTAGATTGGTAAAGAGCTGGATAGATCATCAAACTCAGAGACTAACTTTGGACCTGTCCTTTTTAATGTCTTATGCGTTTAACATCTTGGAAGAGGTAGGAATGCACCCTCATCAAGTTTGCAGGCACCCAAAGTGAGAAGTGCAGTCAGTACGTGTTGAGTACACAGCTGCTGTTCAGAGAGACCTAGGCAGGCTGGAGGAATGGGCTGACAGGAGCCTGATGAAATTCCACAAAATAAAATGCAAAGACTTGCACCTGGGAGGGACTAACTGCCTGGAGCAGCATAGGCTAGGGGCTGACTGGCTGTGTAGCAGCTTTGCAAAAAAGGACCTGGAGGTCTTGGTGGACAGCTGGCTGAATGATGTGAGTCAACAGCATGCTGTGTCAGTGATGAAAGCTAACAGCATATTGGGCTATGTTTCTCACCAGTAGGTCAAGAGATGTGATTGCTCCCTTTAACCTGGTGCTCATTAGAATATGCTTGGATAACTGCAGCCAGTTTTGGGCTCCCCAGTATGAGAAGGATGTTGATAAACTGGAGCGAGTTCAGCAGAGGACCACCACAGTGTTAAGGGGCTGGAGCGCATGGCCTGTGAAGAGAGACTGAGGGAACTGAGCTCGTTTAGCCTGATGAAGAGAGGACTTTGGGAGATTATTGAGAAGATGGAGTCAAGCTCTTTACCAAGCTGTGTGGTAGGGAAAAAGAGGCCATGGTTATATATTTTAACAGGGAAGGTTCCAACTGCAGGAAGGGTGGTGGTGGTGGGGGGTGTCTATGAGGAAAACTAAGTATTGGAATAAGCTGCCAAGAGAGGTGACAGAATCTTTGTCCTTGGAGGTTTTCAAGACCTATCTGGTAAAAGGCCTGAGAAACCTAGACTGAACTAAGTGCTGGTCCTATTTTGATCCGGAGACTGATCTAGGCTTTGGACTAGATCACTTCCCAAGGTCGCTTCTGAACTCAATGAGCCTGTGATAACAAGGTCAGTCAAAGTTAGCAGACTTCTTGAACTCCTCTGATTTTGCTAAAACAGGACACCTATCCACTTCTGTTAGCATCGCTTTCCAGTAGCATGTTTGTCTAAAGGCAGTTTAGTTACCAGCCTGGTGCTGTACTTTCTGCTCTTAGGAAACTGAATGTGAGTTCATATGTAAAATGCTTAAGTTTCTACCAATCTTTCCTGGATTGTGATACCAGTTTCTACCATATTGTTGTCTACAACAGCAGTATGCCTAAAATTTTTCATAATAGGCTTTGGGTATATTACTAGGATTTTTGAAGCAGTGTTTTTCACCTGTTTTGAGGCAAATTCAGTGTATAGCACCTGAAGTGGTGTTTACTCATTTTAAACTTCAGCAGAAATCATGAGGAAGAACAGAATATGGAAAGAAAATTTGTAAGGTTGTTTATGTCCATACCGTTGGCAAACCCCCTATACATTCATATTCTTGCAGATTTTTTACTCCTGATGAGTCTGCTCTGATTCTTAGGAAATGACAAAGAGTATATGAACTACTTAAAGTATAAGGAGGATATATGAATTTCGGTTCTGTGTCACAGGCTACAAGCAAGGGAGAGAACACATCTCCAAGTAGAATTTTACTTTTTTAATTGACTTGATCTTGCAATACGAAGAAGTATCTAGTGTACTTTTAAACATCAGTTGTATTGTATGTGTAAAACATTGAAAATATGCAGTTTTATAAAAAAACAAGCTCATCTTTTGTGCTGTGTTGTTTTTCACATAGGAAGACTTCAAAGGAAAAAACAATAGTGGAATAAGTTGCTGACAGGAGTGTTTTACTGCTGACCTAGGCCATTGATATCAGCAGTATCCAGCCTTCTGGCCCTTAGCGTGATTAAAGAATAAAAATCTAAATTCAATTTGAAAACAATTAAAATTATTCTGTGTTGTCACAGCAAAGTAATAGCTTAGTTAGGAGTGTTCTGAGCAACTGCTAATCGCCTCCCTACCTTGCTGTAGTGACTCTGTCCTGTCTTGCATTCTTTTTTTTCCCCTAACTCATTGCATCTTAGAAAAAACACAGTGGAGATTTCAGTAGATTTTCTCAAAATTCATAACAAAGAAGGTTTTCTCTTTTCAGTTACACAGAACACTGAGAAAGAAAAGGGAATAAGCTGATAACATCACTGTTCTCGGTTACATTTTCCTTAAAGGAACCAGAGCATCTATGAGAACCTGAAGTTCTGTATTCTCTGTCAGTCCTGAAATGCATGCATATGTGTGGATACTTGTATATATTCTGAATGAATGCTTTATAAGTTTGTGTTACAAGTTGGAAGATAAGAGCTACAGGAGGCCTATGTCAGAGTAGGCTGCCAGCTACTGCTTTGCAGTTGTCTAGGATTTTTACTTTTTATAAGTTTTAACCTCTCTATCAAAATTCTTCTCAGTAACATGCTATTCCAATTTGGCTGAGATTCATTTGAAAATCCTCATCTTTATGTTTTTGGAGTACATCTGACATTAATAGAATGCTAAAAATGTTGAATACTCTTAAAGATCAGTTCCTTCCTTTTCTGTAGCTGTAACTGGAGAATCGAAGACATTATAGCTGCTAATGGACTAGTTCATAGAGACCTAGGATGTTTATTAGGTAGTTTCTTGTATAAGAGTTGGAAATAGAAACATGATCCCAACAGCTAGTCTCTTTTGTTCCATCTCGCATCGTATCTCTGTAGAACGTTTAAAGCCTAAGTGAAAGAAAAGATGGATAATTAGCAATAGAACTTAACTTAAGGCTTTCCTGCTTTTGCTGGTTATCAGGAATCCGATATTCTTTGACCCTTGTCCCTAATATTTAGAGATTGCACATGAAGTTGTTGTTGAAAGATTGTATAAAAAACCATGAGTATTTCCTGCAAGGCGTGCTGATGTTAAGTGTACTAAATTGCCTCTGTATAGCAGTTTGTATTTTAACTTTCTTTATAGAAGTAACTTTTTGTTTGTTGTTTTTTTGCAGATTATGGAGCTTTGTGGTGCAACAAGACTTGGCTATTTTGGGAGAAGTCAGTTTTACATTGCTTTGAAACTTGTTGCTGTGGCCCAATCTGGTCTCCCTCTAAGAGTGGAGAGTTTAAATACAGGTAAGTCAAGGGGGGATGTAATTGATTCACTAAGTAGGATTATTGTAGTTGGCTCAAAGATTCTGACAGGGCAAGGTTGTTAATTACTGGAGTCTTTTTTTATATATGTTGCTAACTTTAAAAAAAAATTAATAATAATTTTGGAGAGAAAATGAGGGTGTATGTTCTTCCCATGCTGTAAATGTGAGATGCCTTACTCTACTGAGAATGAGATGAGCAGTGTGCTCATCATGGAAGCAAATGCACAAATACGGCTGACTAGTGCAAGTACAAGTTCACTTTCTAGATTGCCACATGATAACTTGGTTTTTGTGCTATATCCCGTAAATAGAAGTACTAAATCTGAATTTGAAAGAGAAGAAAAATGCAACATTTTCAAGGTTTTTTAGTTACTGAATTTATTGAGCCTTGATCGCAACAAATGAGAGGTTATCTTTTCCAGAGCTACTACATTCCTTTGTTTTACACTGGGCTTAGGTATTACAGTTTTCTCCCTTCTTAGTCCACATAGGGAGATTAATATCTTAAGATTAAGGTTTTCTAGTGATAAACTGTATTTGCAAAAGCTTTTTGGTTTTTTTTTGTTTTTGTTTTTGTTTTTTGGTAAGTGGCCTATTATCAGCCAAAATAGCTGTCATCCTACTTTTGAAAGTCCATGGTGGAGGTAGTGAAGTAGGAACAGGAGAAAGACTGGCTCTAGGAGAAGATTTCAGGACAGCCCAAAGAGCCTTGGTTCTAGGCTCTACTGTAGCCTACTGAGTTGTTGTTATATAAGTGGATCCGTGTCCAGGTTGCTCTGTGGAATGAAAAGAGATTTAGAAAGATGGAGGAATGAGTTTTAAGCCATTGCAGTCATTTGCAACAAAGTATGCAATTCTCAGCTTAGCGGTATCTCTGGAGCGCAGCTTTGCATCCGGATGACTTTTCTGACAGATTTTGTTTATGGAATATATGTTATGATAGAATCTAGATATGCTGGTAATTAAAAGAAAGGTTAGGAGATTAGACGTCCTTATGTCTAAAGGATGTAGGTTAAATTGTGTTGGTAAGAAAACTTCCTTAGAGCCAAAATCTGATGGGCCTGAAGTACTTGACAAAGCTATTAAAAGAGCAAGAAATCATCGTGTAAACCTTTAGTTATGTTTATGTTTACAGCTGTGCTTCTGCAAACAGTAGATATTGCTTTTGTGGTTTTTGTAGTTTTTTGGAAATGTGCATGGTTTGATGCAGCACTTTGCTAGTATTCAAGTGACTTTCTGCTCACAAGCCACCATATGATCATGAATTCTTTCCCTAGTTTCCCTGCTGAGTGTTCCCAAGAACTAACATTTCAGTGAGTTGTAGTAGAAAGTTCTAGAATCTGATAGTTGGAAAAGGGACCTTCAGCTCTTCATATTGGATAGAACTGAAACTTGATATAACAGCAATTATGAGATTGTTCATCAAACATTCATTGAAGAAGGCAAGGACTAAAATCTGTGTAGGTAGCTGTATTCAGGTTTTTGTATGGTTAATTTTATTTTAATGTAAGACACCTTAAATGGGAGGAAACTTTCTAATTAAAAACACAAACAAACAAAAAAACACCTTGGCAGTACCATCAGAAGAAATTTGAAGGAAGAAATTGAAATGAAAATACAAAATTAATTCCAAAATACAAAAAATGCTGTTGTAAAATTAGCAAAGAGCCACTGGAACTTGTGTAATAGAATACGTTTCCTTGATTCATGACAATGCTCAGAATACTTTAATGATTTCTAGACTTCTGGGAATAATTTTCTGTACTGATTCCAAACTTACCAAATACAAGTGTAATTGACAGAACATTTATTTCTGCCCTGACTGTTTTTAGGTTTGGTTGTCTGTTGCCTTGGTAGCAACAGGTAGTTCCAGTCCTATCACTGAAGTTCCTGCTCCTAGGATGATTCAAGTGCTGTTGTAGCAGCTGCTAAACAGCTAGAATATGGCAGGCTGAAGACAAAAATGATTC